ATCGTCACACAAATCCGGGGTACATGAAGCCATCTCGAACCAGAGTTGGTATCTCGATGTTGAACTGCCGATTCAAAGATGCCTTGCCAAGAAACCAACGGCCAGGCAGCTCCAGGGCGTTTTCCAGTAGTGGAGCTTGCCGGATCTTGCCAGCCGGCACCCCAGCTCTCCAGGTCCCACCTTTCCGCTTCGAGGCGGGGATCTTATCGATAAGCGGCGCCTGCAGCTTCCCCCAGTTCGCCGCCGCGGTTAGTCACCCATCTGCTGTCATTCGGGCGACCGCATGCAACTGCTGTGCACCTTCCAACACTGCGGCATCAAAAGACTTTGATGACTCTTCAACCGCAACCCTGACGCGCAGATGCAATACTACAGCTTCCGTTCGACTCAGCCGGCGAGAAGAACATCACCGAAACTTCCCTTCTTCACCTTCTAGTCACAGACTCCTCTTCAAGGCATACAAGAAGGCACACTCTCCAGCCTTTGCCATTATCCATACTCCATTCTTTTCTTGCATCAGAGTTTAGTTTTGCATCAACTACTTGTTCATCGTCTGACGAAAAATACCGTCTCATCGTTGCCTCTACCTCCACATCCGTACCAATATACAATACCTTTCGTCCCAACTCTTCCGGCCCAATGATTCTTAGGATATATAGTTTACTTGTGATCTTTTAAACATTGGTGTTTTTGACCCCTCTTATCACTCACCTCCCGACCGCAGCGATCTCCAGACCAGGAAACACAGAACAAGCAGCCATGGCATCAAAACAGGCACCGCACGAACGACGAAAAGGCGAAGCTGCCCTTGGCGACTTTGCCGAGTACGTCGAGAGACAGCAAGCATTGCGTTCCGAACAAGGCTGCCCAGAGCCAGAGTGCGACAACAAACGCCCCCGAAGTCGAACATCATGCCGAGCTCGACGACATCCTCGACAGTCTCAACCTCTCCGAGCCCGGTCCGCGAATAAGACTGCGCGACCTCCTCCTGTCCGCGGCGGATGATGACGCCTCCCTCCAGAAACTCGTCGACATCGTTGGCGAGCGATTAGACGAAGGCCACGGCGAGTCCGTCTTCGACATCGGCTTCGAGAACCACGGCGAGAGCATGAAGTTGACCAAAGAAGATTGGGAGGTGGCATACAAGAGGTTATCGCAGGCCGCAGCCAAGATTGATGCCGACTGCCAGCTGCTATTAACCAAGAACTTGGGCGGCGACCTCGACGGTACCCCGACACGCGATGGCGACGTGAGCGGCAAGGTGATGATCCGTCGACGCCCGTCCGCAGCCGAGGAGGTCATCGAAACACGAATAGCAGTCGTGGGCAACGTCGACGCCGGCAAGTCCTCGATGCTGGGTGTTCTGGTCAAAGGCGACTTGGACGACGGGCGCGGTCGCGCACGCGTGAACCTTTTCAGACACAAGCACGAGATCGAGACCGGACGCACTTCGTCTGTCGGCATGGAAATCATGGGCTTCGATTCGCACGGGCAGACCGTTCTCTCCGACACTCCCGGACGTAAGCTCTCGTGGGAAGAAATCGGCAAGCGCAGTGCCAAAGTAATCACCTTCACCGATCTTGCGGGGCATGAACGGTATCTGAGGACCACAGTCTTCGGCTTGTTATCATCGTCGCCGAACTACTGCCTCCTAATGGTAGCGGCCAACAACGGACTAATAGGCATGTCCAAAGAGCACCTCGGCATAGCATTAGCGCTAAACGTGCCGATAATGGTGGTCATCACCAAGATCGACATCTGCCCGCCCAACATCTTGGAACAGACCATTACCCAGATCACCCGCATCTTGAAGTCCCCTGGCGCAAGGAAGATCCCCATCTTCATCAAGAGCCGCGAGGAATGCATCAACACCGCCACGCAGTTCGTCTCCCAGCGCATCTGCCCCATCTTCCAAGTCAGCAACGTAACAGGCGAGAACTTGGACTTGGTCCGCTCGTTCCTCAACATCTTACCGCACCACGGACGGTACGACGCTGACGCGCCGTTCGAGTTCCATGTCAACGACACTTTCAGCGTTCCCCACGTTGGTACAGTCGTCTCGGGGATCGTTAAGTCGGGGGTCATCCATGCGGGCGATGAGGTTCACCTGGGGCCGGATGGCTTGGGTAAGTTCACGACCACGGCGATCAGGTCGATTGAGCGGAAGAGGATAGGCGTCCCGGCGGCGAGCGCGGGACAGTCGGCGAGCTTTGCGTTGAAGAGGGTCAAGAGGAAGGATGTTCGTAAGGGAATGGTGGTGCTCTCGAAGACTGAAAGTGGGCCGCCGAAAGTGTATCGGGAGTTCATTGCTGAAGGTACACACCCAACCCTCCCCCTTTTCCTCCTTTTCCTCTGCCCCTTTTGTCCTTTTCCTCATTTCTTTCTTCCTCGCTCTCTTTCTTTCCCTTCTCTGCTTCCGACTAACAACCCCCAGTCCTAATCCTCTCCCACGCAACCACCATCAAAACTAAATACCAAGCCATGCTCCACGTCGGCCCCGTCTCCCAGACCTGCGCCATCATCGACGTCGACCGTCCGTTCATCCGAACCGGTGACCGGGCCACCGTCGCGTTCCGGTTCGTCCAGAGACCCGAGTACCTAGTCCCGGGAGACAGACTTCTCTTCAGAGAGGGCAGAACCAAGGGGTTGGGCATCGTCAAGAGTCTCGGGTATGATCCCGAACGGCCGTTGGGTGGGGTTAATGTGGGCGAGGGGGGTGATAAGGTGGCTGCGGGCGTCGAAGATGCTAAGAATGAGGGTGCCGGTAACGAGGTGAAGGTTGGTGCTTAATGGCCTGACGCCTGATGTTGGGGCATAACGTGGTGCTAGTTTGGGGTTGGGCATATGATGTTGTGATGACCCAAGTTGGCGTTCGTGTTGCTGTTCTTTCTTTTCCGCATGGCATCGTCTCATTGTTTTGATATCTCATATACGGAGCAGCGCACTTAGCGCGCAGTACAGGATTATTGTTTGATTATCTGCGGGTTTTCGAGTATCAGTATGGTCCACGTGGTTTTTTGTAATGTATCCCAGGTGGAAGATAAATGACTTACGGGTATTGGCATGACAAACACCAAAATGGAAAGACGGGAACCCTTAAGCATCGTACTGAGTTCCTTGTCAGAGTGATTTTTTTCAGCCTCGTCAAAACGAAGTCCTGCCTGACTATCAATGCTCCATGGCCGGGAATAACAATGGTATATCTGTGCCGTGATCTATCTTTCGGCTCCAATGACAAACGATGAACATGATGTGATGATGGTGATAGCCACGTCTAAAAGCCACCTCTCTCCTCGTTTCCCTCTCCTTCCCTCCTCCTAAAGCTCGGGTTTCCTTCGTAAGCGCCCCTCTCGACCTTGAGGTAGCCACCACCTAGGCTAACAACCCATGTCCAACTCCCACTGAGACCAACCCTCAGCTGCTGACTGCCCAGAACCCTCCGTCTGCCCCTTCCTTTTCCCTTTCCCACTCTCCTCCTCCTCCTTATCTACCCCTTCCCAAAACTGCGCCTCGTCCGCCACCTGCGATAACTTCCACTTGCCGATGGGCAACCGGTCCTGGCCAAGCGGGCCGGCGAAGGGTTTGATGCCGTAGCGGTGGCGGAAGTCGTGCTCGTCAACTGGTACCTTCGCATACACGACCTCTTCTCAAGAACGGGTATAGGGCGAGATGAGCACGACGGAGTCGCCGCGGACGAAAAGCATTTCGGATTTGCGGGAGATGGTCTACGCAGTGTTAGTATGTTGATGTGTCAAGGGAGATGAGGGGGTGGTTGAAGGAAGAAGGGGGCAAGGGGTGAGAAGGAGGGCTGACCTTCAAATCATCCTCCTCGGTATCTTCATCATCGACGACGTAAAATGGTCTCTTCGACTTCACCGAGGACTAGGTTGCAGTGGGAGTCGTAGGCCTACGTCACAATATCTCAGTTAGCAATGAGTGCCGCTCATGGTGGGTGAAGGTGGGTGGCATGGGAAAGGGTGACGACTGAAAAGGGGACATGTAAACATGAAGTGGACTTACGTGCAGACGGCCCTTGAGCTCCCGATCACCTCTCAGCTTGACGCAGACAACCTCATCAAGCAAAAGGCGGACGAGGTCCATGGGCTCGGAAACGGAGCCGGCATCTTCTACTGCGTCGGCCATTTTGTGTGATGTGTATTAAAAAGCCCCAAAACGAATAACGAGTGAAGGAAGAAAATGAAGTTTTGTCGTTGTGTTCCTGTTGTTGATGGACCTGCCCTGGAACGATGATGAGCGCCAGTGACGGCGTGGGGGTTTGCCTGCCCGATTGCAAGCGCTGCGGTTGAGGTCAGTGCCAGCTGGTCGCATGCCAAGAGCAAGGTGACGCACTGACCGCTCTCGGTGAGAACTTGACCGACCTTAAACGCTTATGCCAGAGCTTCGACTAGGCAAGGTCTTGGCAGGAACCGTCGCTCAAAGTGACGGAAACCATGCACACATACGGTAGAATCCATACGCACATACGATAACCCACCTCTTCAGAGTGTAAGCTGTTATCAATAACCACCAAGTTTTGTACTCACCTTACGAAATCTCTATTGTCTTTATAGTGTTATTCGAAGTTGGAAATTCGGCCATTTGTCAACCTTTAGCTGATGGCTGGTATTCCACTTAGAGGTATTACCCTACTATAAATACTAGGGAGGGTATTAAAAATTATGTTATATAAGGCCTAGAGGTCCTACCTTACCCTATTATATCTTTGTACAAGCAAAAACTACCTACCAAATAATCTTCATTTCTATGGGTAGTAATGAAGAAGTTGCTTATACCGCGTTGCTGGTACAAATAAATTCCGTGAGCCATTTATTATTGATTGATAGGGAGTGTGAACTTGAAGCTCTCGTCGCGGGACTTGAGAAGGTTCGTGGTCAGGACTCCGGATTGGCTGTACACCCTTAAAAAGTGGGTTTACCGTATGTGCGTATGGATTCTACCGTATGTGTGCATGGATTTCGTCAAAGTGACAGGCCTTCCCCGGATTTGCAGGCATCGCGAGATCCATCGCACTTCTCCTCTTTTAGTTAGCGGGGTTGACTTACACCTCAAAGACGACGAGACGGAAGACGAGCTTCAATTGCAGACGAGAGATGCCAATGGTATTGGTATAATACGCAGGCGACACCAACTCCCCAACCAATGGCTCCCCTCCTCTCCTGTCGCGGGGTTCGAATCCCTCCAAAGTCTCGACGAACCTCCGCCGTCAAGCTCCAGAAGCTCTCCCATTCTACGACCCAACAAGCAAAACCCATCTCAGCAATCCCATACCCAGGCAACTTTGCCCACCATGGCTTTGGTCACCAGCTTGACGAGCCCAGACAGCCCCTCGAACAAGACGAGCTCCTCCTCCTCCGAACCCTTCTCGCGAGACCCGTCGCCAAGAAACCTCGTCCCGCAAAACGATCGCCATGGATTGACGGCTTCACCAGCGCCTTCAGACAACCTCACAAGATGCTCGCCTACTTCAAGGAGAACAAACTCGAAATCCTACAACTTCCCCCAACAGCCTTCAGCGAGCTTCTCCGCTCCGTCGACCCAATCGAAGCCATTCGAAAAGACAAAGACCCGCTAGGAGATATCTGGGTCGACCCAGCCATGGCCGACTGGTCACCGCTGGGAGTTCTGGTCAATAATTATGGCGCCAGAAAGAGAAACACCGACCTTTACCCGCTCGTCCACGAAGCCGCCTTCCGTCGATTCCGCGCCGGCTCCCCTCTTCTCTTGTCCGACTACAAGGTCTTGCTACGATACGCCGGATCGATTTCGGACCCCCTCCTAGCCCGCAAGATCTGGTTCCACATGAACGTCTCCGAAAAGATGTGGGAGCGCCAGACGGACCTGTATGCCGAATTCCTCAAGGCCCGGTTCTTGACGGAACCGTTGTACACCCAAAATAACCGGCACGACTTCCGCGTCAAGCCTGTAAACCTGTTTCCCGAGAAGCGGTTCCTGCCGTACTTTACGCCTGACAACCTCTCCCAGCTGAGGCAGATGAACTTTGACGAGACCAACAAGCGGCTGGACAGATTTGGGCAGAACCCCGGGGCAGAGCACAAGGTGGAATACTTGATGAGGATGTTACGGCGGAGTTCGCCCGTTGATCTCGTCTTCGGCACCGCCAGAAACCGGTTACATCTGCTCTCAGAAGAGTTCATCTGCGCCGCGCTCATAGCCTACGCTAGAACAGGTGTGATGGAAGACGTCCAGTCAGTCCTCTACTTTAACTACAAGATCGACGTCTCTGGCTCCATCGAAACCGGCGATTTGAGCATCACCGGCGGACGGCGGGACTTCCTCCCCGGTTCACCAATGGCGCCCACCACCCGTCTTTTACAAACCATTGCCACCTGTTATGGGTCAAACGGCATGATCGCCATGGCGTGCAAGATGCTCGACCACGTTTTCTGCGGTGTACCGCCTCCCGATTCCCTCGTCAGTCTGGTTCGAACTACTAGAATGGGCCTACATCCACACCTCTCCGCGCGCAGCAAAAGAGTGGAAGATCGTTAGCATCCCCGGTCGCCGCTTACACCGCAACGCAGTCCAACTAATCTGGGACACCATGACCTCACCCCCTTACAACGCCACCCCCGGCTTCCCTCAGTACAAAATTTACGTCGAGTGGCTGATCAAGAACAACAAGATCGAGCGCGCCATGCAAATAATGCTGGACCTCGAACCTCTCTACCGCAAACGAGTGGAGGAGTTACAATCCCTTTACCCCTTCCACGCTCTTGATCAAGCAGCATTCAACCACTCCCCAGCGTACGATACCATCCTCTGGGAGAGAACCCTACTCAGAAAGGACTACATAGTCCACACCTTTGCCAAATGGTTCTCCCTCCTCTTCAAGAGAATCAAATCCCCCGTCCACCTCCCCGGTCCCAAACCACCCAAGATCTTCCCCTCCCACGACATAAGCACCAGATTAATCCCCCAACTCATCCACGCTTTCCAAGGCCTTCTGCCCGATACGATCCACTACGAGATCCCCACCGGTGTGATCCGTTTCAAGCGTGGCGTTGGAGCCGCGCAAGGGTTTAGAGCGGAAAAGAGGTGGACGGAAGTCAAAAAGGCGGCGGTGGTGAGTATGGATTTGAGGCCGGAGACTGCGAGGGGATTCAACAGACTTCGAGAATATAGTTTGGACCTCAAGGGGGAGCAGTTGCAGAGGGCGGCGGGGGAGACTGTGGAGACGCTTAAGCCGAGGGCGGTGAAGAGAGAGGGGCTGGAGGAGTTGGTTGAGGAGATACTGGGGATGGATGAGATGGCACGGGGAGAGAGGGAAGAGGGACAGTTGGAGGTCGATGTAATAGACCAGGCTAGACGAAGGGGGAGGACTGTGGAGGAAGAGGTGAAGAGGGCGGAGAGAAAGAGGGCGGAGAAGGTGTTGAGGTTGTTGACGTAGAGGTGTTGAGGTTGGACAGGTTGTGGTTGTGGATGGTAAGGGTACACGTACTGGTTGCGGTGCTGGGATTTCCTTTTCGGAGGCGGGCTTGAGGGATATGAACGATTGTGTTGACGACTTTATGACTATAAGTACTTGACGAGATATAGATACCCGACCAGCGAACGCATTGCGCTGGCGTTGCCTGAGCTTCATTGCAATTATTCTTTTCCAAACTGCCAACGCCATGATGCTTTTCCATATGAGCTCCAAGATGCTATCCCGCTTAACTATGCTAGTCACATCGGCCGTAACGTATGTTTCCAATCTTTCTGCCCAGGCAAAAACCCATCTCCTCTTTCTCCATGTCACTCATTGGGCCCCTTCAGTCTTTCGCTGTAGCTGGCGCAACATCCTCCCTAACCAGACTGTTGACATACATATACCTACTCAACCCAATCCACCCATACCTGAACCAGCGCATCTGGCTCACATGTGCCTTTGTCATCGCCGCCCACGCTTTGTCCACACTTGCCCACCCCTCCCCAGGGACGAGGTTATTCATAAACACCAATGCGCCCGGCCTTTCCTGCTTATCCTTCTTCGTAATGCCCGCTGACCATGCCCACTCCAGCAGGGTAGGAAGGGCGTCAACAATCCCGCTGTACTTGCGGGCAAGGCCGAGCGTGGGGAGGGTATATATATCCACCTGCCCTTGTCCCTTTCCCTTTTCCTTGCTTCCAGCCGTAGCAGCCAACAACTGGCTAACAAACAACCTAGCGCCGTGATAGAGGGAAATATGATTCGGATGTCCCGAGATTCCGTGCTTATCAAAAGTGATGATGGTGTCGATCGTAGGCTTGACCTCCTCCCCCTTTTTATTTTCTTTGTTCTTCCCCGACGATCGCAAACTGGCGGAAGCAGGGTTGGTGGTCTCGTTAAGTCCGGGAGCAAAGGCCGAGGCTAGCAAGTGGGAGATGCGCTCGGGGTCCCAGTGAGTGGTCATGCTATCGGGGAAGAATGGCGAGTCGATTACGAAGACGTCGGAGGGGGAGCGGAGGCCGAGGAGCGTGCCGGATTTGGCGAGTTCGCGCTTGCGGGTTGGGCCGAGGCCTTCTGCGTCGCCTGTTGTTTGGGGTGTACGTCAGCAGTGGAGAACGAAGAAAGGAGATGCGAACGGGCAACAACATACCACTACTCAAACACAAAATCTTGACATGGTTCCCCGTCTCTGGCCTCGTAAGCGCCAGCACCGTCGGCGCAAAGAACATGGCCTCATCGTCCGGATGGGCAATCAGCAGGCATATCCGCTTGTTGCGCAGGACGGGGAACCGCGTGGCGACGATGGAGACGGTGTAGATGTAGAGCGAGGGGATCACCACGGCGGCGAGGCCGAGGGCTGTTAGCCAGTTCATAGCGGCGCTGGCTGTTGTTAGGGTTAGAGGATGGTCGGGACAAGTTGTGGTAGCGTCATGGACGCGGTGGTGGACTGGTGGTCCCCTGAAGCTTGCGGCAGGACGGGAGCTTGGGCGCTGGTGTGGAGGCGGGGATGTGAGGCAGGGATGTGTTATCTTATCGCGGTCGGGCCCGCTTGGAGGATGGGCGGATTGTGGGGGAGTGGAGGCCGAGGCTACAGGTACCTTGAGGGCCTCCTACTATGGAGAAGACATTGTCCTTGTGGACGTCTACGAGAAGGCAGAAACCAAACACGAGGTTGGGATTGAATTTCCCCGCCTCTATCAGCGGCGGAACGGCAAGGGCCGACGGGAGGTGTGGTGGGATGGAAGACAAGGAGGGAGGGAATGTCTCGCACGAGGGTCACAAGGTTCCATGTTCAACTGGGCACCTCTTGTACAACAACATGCAAGGGAGTCCAAGAGGAGCCTCTACCAGTGAGGAGTTCTCGATAGTGCAAGCACCACTCTTATCACCTGTAGCCTCTTCGGATGCGGGCAACCGAGTCGTGTTGAGGCTGTAGAACCCCGGAGGAAGAGGAACATTTCCAGAGCCTTGCACAAGAAAAGGTACCGTACTTGGTTGCCTACTTTCTTGCAACACCAATATAGGATCTACACAATCGGATAATAGACACAAATGGCCAAGAACTCGGTGGATGATGGCCGAGAAGTTGACATATGTGGTTGATATAGCATCTTGAAGAAAAGTCAAGTGTCAAGTTGAGGGGGTTAGGGTACGGGGACAAGTGGGGCCATTGCGGGAGCTAGCGGCCGACCCACTGAAAGCTCCCCTAACTCACGTCTTCGATTCCATCGTCATCATTCCATTCCTTCCATGCCATTGTCCCCAGAGCCGCAATAATTCTTCTTCGTCCTTCGTATCGCCAGACACAAACACCACAATGGGCCGAAAACGCGCCGATTCCCCGTCCAACATCAAGTTCCAGCAGCCCGACCGCAGCGGACCCAAGGAAAAGACCCTGCTAGAATTGGCCGAGGAAAGGGGGCTCTTCGCACAAGCGCAAAAGAAACAGGAGGAAAACGACAAGTACTCTAAAACCAAGATCAAAAAGATTCCGATAAAGCCAGAGAACCCTAACGACCATGACAACGAACCACTGTCCCCCGGAGCCGAGCGCTTCCTCGACACCACCCTCTACACCATGAGCCTGACCATGCTGCACTTCACCTTGGACGTCCTTGTCCAGAACCAATATTCCGCCGATCGCATCGTGTGGCCCAAGGTTTGGATGAGAGCATTCCAGGCCTTGTTTGGTATGTCAATACGAGCCTAGGGTTAATATTACCCACTGACGTCTTCCTGCCCAGTCTTCGGCTTCCTCATCTACACCCTCCACGCTCACTCTTCGAACCCGACCATCCTCCCCGGCCTACCTGCCCGCTTCCAAAACCATCTCCGACAGGTCATCTTCCTAATCATGAGCGTGACCTCGGGATGCTACCTGATCCACATCACAAACACATACGGATACCTGGCCGTCATGAAGCAAGCGCCACCCGTGGGTTGTCTGTGGGTGTGGTCCGTCATTGAACTCCAGCTTCCGTGGGCTGTCCTCAGCCTGGCAGTTGCAGGCACATATCTAAAAGTCAGAGGTTATGACATCAAGTGAGATGGTCTGGTGGTCAGCACGGAGGAACCTGGTTCTGAAAGCCAAGCAAACCCAGAGGGGGTTGAGGACTGGTGGCGCCCGTGTCGCGTTACGCAAACGGTTTTATTATTACAGCACTCTATCCACGAGGCAGACGCCAAAGACGCCACAAGTAACCATTGCGTATCAAAATGGTTGGACAGAGTCCGCTTTCTTCACTGATAGCAGACGACCACAAAAAAAGGCGACGACACGGCAACCATGCAGCAACACAACAGGTTCGGGCGTTAACATTCCCTGCAAAAAGCGTTGTCGTTGTTTACATTGCTATGCATTTGCTTATCAAACCCCTGCCTATTCACTGCTCAATGGTAGTCTGACCTGTCGCGGCGGTGTAGCAAATGCACCTTTTGCAAACTTCTTCAATATGACCCGAACACGTCGACCATTGGCGTGTCTTCCCGGTCCACCATGTCAGATATCGTTGGACCGTATATGCGAGGCTAGGAGGATGAGCGCTGCAATGCAAATCCATTATCCACTGTTTACACAGCGTCCCGTGGTTGCGAGGGGTCGTACTGCCAATTGCAAGGCTGAGAAGGATGCTCAACCGGTCTGAGACGGCCCCCAAGGGATGAGACTCTGACGTTCAAATCACACCCACCAAGCACACCCAAGAAATACAAAAAGGGCGCTATCAGCAGCTATAGGAGGCGCTTTGGGCATCATTCCGGACGATCATCTGAAGTTGACTTGTGAGGCTTGTCTCGGCGTTCGGACTACTTGTTCTGGCAATTTGAAGTGGGAGAGCGGCGCCGCGGATATGTTTGCCTGCTTACAAGAAGACTGTAGTTGATGTATCGTAGTTGTATATAAGTCCAGTCGGTCTCTGTGCCCGTTCGAAATAGAGTCCGGTTACTTTTCCTGGTACGAGTCCTTTCATTATCTGCTGTCTTTTGCTACGTTCTGCTACAATCTTTGAGTGTACCGACTCAGTCTTCCTCACTAAAACACTACTCGTCGGACAAGAAATTATCCATCTCGAGAGCCACAATGCGCTGGTCAACTTTTCTGCCCGTCGGGGCTCTCGTGGCCCTAGGACGTGCGATCCCAACTCCATCGTAAGACCGTCGTCCCTGAAAATGCAAATATCACATCTGACACCGATCAACAGTAAAAGGCTTCCCACCCGGGACTTGTATCCAAACAACTACGGTCCAAACAACAACTATCCCAACGACTACTACCCCAACCAGGACACCTCGTCCTCCTCGGGCTCCTCCCCATACCTCCGCCGAGCAGTGCCCACCGGCCTCATAATCAACCACTGCACAACCCCCGGCATCGTCGCCCTCACCTTCGACGACGGCCCCTACATCTACACCACCCAACTCCTCGACAAACTGGCCTCCTTCTCGCCCCCAATCCACGCCACCTTCTTCGTCAACGGCGCCAACTGGGTCTCCGCCATCGACGACGAATCCACCCCTTACCCAGGCATCCTCCGTCGCATGCTAAGCGAAGGCCACCAAATCGCCAGCCACACTTGGTCCCATCTTGACCTAACGACCGCCAGCACAGCGCAGCGCGTCGAGCAGGTGACCAAGCTCGAGGACGTCTTGCTGAGGGTAGTCCGCGTCAAACCGAAATATATCCGGCCGCCCTACGCCACTTGCGAGAACGGATGTCTGGAGGATCTCGAGGGGATGGGATACCATGTCGTTAATTTCGATTTGGATACCAAGGATTATGAGAATGATAGTGAAAGTGGGATTCAGGTGAGCGTGAACAAGTTTAATAGTGAGCTGGGGAGCAATCCGGCGACGGACTCGGCGATTGTGTTGAGTCATGATGTTCATCGGTGGACGGTGGAGAGGTTGGTGGATGAGATGGTGGGGACGGTTAGAGCGAGGGGATTTAGGACGGGGACGGTGGGGGAGTGTTTGGGGGATCCGGAGAGTGGGTGGTATGCTTAAGGGAGGTTGGGTTGGATACCTAAGGTATGTTGTAGAGGGATTTGGGGGTTTGGATGTGTTTATGTGCTATGATTTATGCTTGTGTGGGCTTGGGGAGGCCATGGTGTTGAGAATACCCCTTCACTTTCAACGTTTGGATTTTGCCTACTATCTTGCTTGGAAACTCTGGGTCTTGGTTAAGTGAAGGTCGCTGGAGGTGTATATAGGTATTTGGAGGTTCTTGACGATTCTCAGGCACCTTTTGTGTCGCTAGCGAATAACCCCGACTGGAAGAATGGATGTTCAGTGCCTCGAATGAAACCCATGATGTCTGTTTCACAGGATGTCTAACAAATTACATGCAAGGTACCCGTTCTACCGTCCTCGGGCCGTCCCACCAGTTCGTTTCCAAGAACTCCGGGAACGGGGGAATGGGGAACGCGGAACTTCCAGCATCACCAATGTAAGTCGTGATCTCCAAGCCCCACATTTCCCCGTCCAGCGTCATCGACTTTTAACACCACATCAACACTCGCTTTTCACTCCGATTTCTCACCACTTTGCGATTTCATTTCGAACACATCTTTTGCATCATTAGAGTATATCTTGAATACAAACCAGATCGAAGTCGTATTTTTCATTTCACCCCCCCAGTCATAACCGCCCAATGAAACTGCAAGACATCTCCCTCACCCTCCCCCACAAACCCTCAGCCACTCTGCGCATCTCCGCCCTCTTCCCCGGGACATCCTCCCCGGACTTCGCAGACTCCCCAGACATCGCAGCTTTACCACCCTCATCAACCCTCCTCGTCTTCCTCAACGGCCTCATCCTCCCTCGCTCCTCCTGGTCCGAGGCCATCTCCCGCTTCCTTCGCATCCGCAACAAGCAGCGACGGTCTTCTACTTCGTCCAATGCTTCGTCATCTTCTCCCTCCAATACTGGACCCAAAGCAGGAACCGGGACTGTGTCTAAAAACGGTAACGGCAACAACGCATCTGCGGCGGTAGGAGAGACATGTGAAAATGGGATACTACCCGAAATCCCCAACATCCTAGCCTACGACCGCTTCGGCCAAGGCGCCTCCTCCCCCGACCCATCCGATCCCGATCCGGCCGTAGACGACACTCCCTACGGCCACACACCAGAGGACGTAGTCGACGACTTCCACCAGTTGCTGCTCCTAGTCTCTCGCCAATTCCTGTCTCGGCGGGATCTGAAAGAGCTGGACGTGGTGATAGTAGCGAATAGCATAGGCTGCCCCCTCGCGCGGCTCTACAACGCTCGCTACTACCCTGATGTGCGGGTAGTCGGGTACCTCTTCCTCGATTCAATGATGGCCAATTCAGACTTTGTCTCCGTGTTTCCCGATCCGGATGCGCCTGGGTTTGATCCCGGAAAAGATTTGAAGGAGGGGGTGGATGAGGAAGGGCTGAGATGGACGAGGAGGATGTTTAGGGACAAGTTTCATCCGAGGGTGGGGAATCCTGAGAGGTTGGATAGGAGGGGGTTGAGGGGGTTGTTGCCTTGGGCTGATAGACCGAAGCTTAGGTTGCCTGGGGAGGGTGAAGGGAGTGAGGATGATGGGAGGGATGGGGATGATGGGAAGAAGCAGGATAAAGCGAAGAAGGAAAGTACCAGAACGACGACGAAACGAATCACCAGACTGAGGGTGATAGTCATCGGTCACGATTGGGACGTCTTTGCTGAGCATAACGAAAAGGTCTGTTCCTTCTCCTTCCCATTCCCCTTCCCCTCCCATTGTCCAAACTACCTACCACCTTCTACCCGCCAAACAGTTCTTCTCACACCATCACCCCCCTCCACATTTACAGGGCCCAATGTCCATCCCCAAAGCTGTCATCAACGGGTACATGAACCCAGCCTGGCAGCGGTATAACGAGGGGTTGACCCGTCTAGCGACGGTTGACAGTGACAGTGACAGTGACGAGAATGTGGTTCCGGTCAAGATTGCGAAGGGTTGTGGGCATTTCATCCAGAAGGACGATCCGGAATTGGTGGCGAGGGAGGGGAATTCGTTGTTGAGGGGTCTTGGGTTATAAAAGGTGGGTTTGGATGGCGTTTGGGGTGAAGGATTGGGCGGAATGCTGACTGTTAGAGGTGATGCTCGGGATGCACGGGAAGTGCTATGGATAGAAAGCAGCGATCCGCGATCATGATTCAAGGCTCAAAGCTGGCCGAAATGGACCCGTGGTATACAAGACACCTCATCTACTCCCTTCCTGCCTCCTCCCTCAGCCCATCTTCATGATTCCCATGCCCCCTCAGCCCTTTCACGCGCGTAGGAAGGCACCTAAAACGGCCAATCCATAACCGTCCTCTCCTCATTCCTCTTCGTCACCTGCACCTCATCGCCCACACTAATCCACACTTCCCGCTCCATGTCCTCTTCTCGCTCCTCCTCCCCTTCCTCCATGTCCTGCTCCTCCCCGTCCTCATCAACAGCCGTCTCCCCCACAAACCCATACCGTCCAAACACAGGACTCCACTTCATCCCCGGATCTACTCTCCGATCCTTCATCAGCTTCTTGAGTACAGTCCCCATCTCCCCTTTGGCCGTCTTGCCCGTGTCATAGTCGACGTTTAGACTGGTGCAGCGGGCGCAGTTGCCTGTGAGGTGGAGTTTGGTTTTCGTTTTCTTGATCCTCGTGGTAGTCCCGTTCGCTTCTGTTGCTGGTGAAGACTTCGCGGAAGAAGTAACGACAAGTTCACCCCAGTAATCCTCTGCCCAAGCTTCCTCCCCTTTACCGTCTAGGACGAGGTTAGGGCGCATTTTATACATTGGGACCTGAGGGTGTGTGGATTCGGTAGATTCGGTGGATTCGGTCGTTTCAGGGGCGAGGCGGGCGGAGACGTTAGAGAGGGAAGATTCTGAGGTGATCAGCAAAGGCGCCACGTCGGTAAACGTAATCCACGGCTTCGGTTGTTGTTCCTCTTCTTCGCGTTCTGCTTGGATGGCGACGAACCCAGGAACGGAGATCGGGACGGTGGGGAACCAGGAGGTTAAACTCGCTAGGCTGGAGAGCCATCCCCCTCCTCCTCCGGACTTTTGCTGCGGATGTTGTTGCTGCTGCTGCTGGGGGGTCAATTTTCCGGACTGACGCCGCGAGCTAGCGTGTGAGTGTGAGTGCGCTCCCGATGCTGTCGTCGGCGGTAGCAAACTCGTCCCCAAAATCTGCCTTTTCCCATCCCCAAGATAAACAAAAACAACCTCAAACCCAAACCGCTCCGAAAACCACCGATCATACTCCTCCCCGACCTTGTAGCACGTCGTCGGGCTCCCATGCAAATCCACCTCTACCTTCTCCAGCTCCTCAATCCTCGGCGGCGGATCGAGCTCAACGGTAATCGTCTCCGCTTCCAGCCTCTTTAGCTTTTCCCTCTCTGCCTGCTCCTGCTCCAGCTCCTCTCCACCTTCACTGCCCCCGGTGGGCAGAGACGGAGCGTGCCATTTCACGAGAACCTCCTTCTGGCTGTCTTCGCGCGAGAGGATGGTCTGTTCGAAGAGGGCGCATTGCGGGTAGGAAGAGAGTTGCATCTTCTTCAACTCGGTGGACATGGAGCTGCCGTCGGCTTTGGTTTTGACGTGGTAGAGCATGAAGGTGCGGTCATATTTGATGCCTTGGGGGGTGAGTTGGGCGTGTTGGAGGGGGATGGGGCGGAGGGCTTTTATGGGGTAGACGTAGAGCTGAGGGCAAGAAGAGGTGTTAGCACTGGTGCCGTGGTGATGAGAGTTGTGTTGGTGGCGTGGAGTGTGGATAGAGGGTGCGGACGGAAATGGAAGAGAGGATAAAGAGTGCCTGGTGTTTTGACTTTTGAGGGTGGGCATGAGGGTAACGGAGAGAGAGGCGCGGGGATAGTGAGGGGAGGGGAGGGAGGGACATACCTGTGTGATCTTCATGGCTGCGGTTTTCACTTGTCTGCTTGCTGTCTTTGGGTGTCAAAGTGTGAGAAAGTGAATACGATAAAGGGCGCGCGAGTGGTTATCACTTTGACCCCAGGCCGGTTGGTTATGAAAGAAAGATGTTTGCCTCATACAAGTTCAGCTGGGTGAGTTTATGCCCTGTGCTGTCGAACTTCTCGGCGTCGGTAGATAATTGTTAGCGCTCCCGGTCCAGCCCCGGGAAAGAGGAGTCAGGGTGCTCTTGAAATTACCTGTTCTGGTTTAGCGTGTACGATCGTTCCACAGCGAAAGGGCGCGCCCAGGGACGCTAATGCACATGGAAAGCACATCAGACGAATGGGGTCTAGCCGCTGTGGAGACTGGGGAGTCAGTTCCCTGGGCGTTTTATCCCCATCATTGTTTGCCATGGACGACGTCTCTTGAGCTCGTGTTTCATCAGTCATCATCACCACCCGATCTGCAACAAAAAGGCATGGAAAAGGCAGGATTTGTCAATATCACAGTCAAGGAGTTCTACATCCCCGTGGGTATTTGGCACAAGGATAAGGAGCTGGCCGAAAAGGGCCTCTGGTGGAAGGTTTGTAGGGATGGAGATCGATCTTAAAGGTAAGTCCACGGATTAACCGAAGCTACCTCTACAGATAAATTCATATTGAAGGCGTTGCTGAGAGATTGGATAAGCTTATGCTAGAGGTAACTCGTTGTTAGGATACCTCAACTACATCTTCAATGTTGTCATGGGGTGGACCCCCGAGGAGACTGCGGTCTACGCCAAGCATCTTCGCAAGGAGCTGAACAATCCTAACATCCACGCCTACTTTAAGGGGCGTACTGTTTACGACCGGAAGCCGCAGCCGGGTGAGGTACCTGAACCTAACTAATTGCGGGGGGGAACTTCGGGGAAAGACGGTCATGAAGATTATGGGGTATTTTCAATGTTACACTTGCTGGATGTTCTCTCCCGTGTTGGGCACCGAAACTGACTACGACACTTCCCTGTAATTGAAGACTACAAGCACAAAAGAAGCCCAAAACTTGAAAAGTAGGTATATGATCATATTGGTATTCACTATTCTCCTAAAAGGGGTCCGTGATATTGCTGCAATTACAGGGGGTGTTACTCGTTTGGAAACATTTTTGCCCAGTCGGAATGGGGGTTTTTACTGTACAGCCAAATGCCAGACTCCGAAGCCGGTATTTTGGCCCTCAGCTCCTCTGATGAACATATATGGAGTTCCCAGTTGGAATCCCACTCAGCCAAATTGGTCTGGTCGGGAGTTCCGTAGACATTGTCCGTGTCAGTATGGCCGCTTTGCCCCGGTATGCTAATCTCACTGGGCAACCAGCAGCTAGTGGGCTCCTTGTCGAGTCTCGCCGCATTCCAGCACCAGTCGTGAGCAGGAAGTCCGTACACCTCCTTAAGGGCCTTGACGTCCAATCCAAGCTCAGAAGCACGACGCTCGAGATAGTCGACAAAGTGGTTGCGAACGCTAGCATCGTGGCATAGCGAAGCCTGTTCATACAGCTGTCTGGACGGCTTGGGTGCCAACTTGTCCCACAACTCCTTGTAGTTGCCGGCAATGCAGGCCATGGCTACTTGAAGGTGCATATCCGGACGACGTTTGGCGAGGACTGCCAGCGTTTCCTCGGCAGGAATAAGGGGCCACCATATCATTCCAGGTATCTCGTGAAACTCCTTTTCTGGATGTGGATCTGTTTCGGTGATGTGCGACAAGTCATTGACCATGATGAAGCGTGCGAGAGTGGCCGCTCGGATATCAAAATCCCACTCCTCCCGTGCCTGAAGCGACCACCACTTGGCGAAGGTAGTGTTGTGGTATATGCCGCGAAGGACGGCTCCATGCTCTTGCTCGACCATATGGGGCCGACGCAAGCGAAGATAGCGGTCCAGGTTCCCTTCATAAGCCGCCATAACGATCAACGGATCTTTGATGATGGTGGGCAGATGCAAGGGCAGAGGCGTATAAAGCAGTCCGACGTGTTCTGCAGGCAGCGTTCCTTGTGACGGGAAGGACGATGCGTGTGTCGAGGCCTCGGCAACGTGGCCGTCCTCGTCGATGTCGAAAGAGCCGACATCCGGGACAAGCCCGCTATCATCATCCATGTCCTCCGGGGCGACTGTCCCATTCAGTGTTGATCGGACGGCGGTATCTCCGTTCATAAAGGCCGGTGACCGTGGGTTTTTGTGGTGGACAGACCTGGTGTAATCGTCCAAAACGGCGTAGCAAACTGGTTGTTTCATGATGTGCTCAAAGATGGCCTTGGATCCCGCTTTTGCCGCCGAGTTATCTCTAGCCTCTTCAGCGATAGAGACATCGGAAGGATGTCAAGTTCATGATACAATCCGTCATATCCCGCCACAGCGCATGCCCGACCAACGGTATATGCCATGTCGGGATAGCGCTTTGCCAAACGTCGGTATGTCTCTTCTCTGGCAGTGTCGGGGTGCCAGAAACAGTAGGGCTTGACATCATCCGTCGCCATATCCGGGACCTCGTTGCTCATGATAAGCCGGGCATTGCGTGCCCTAGCATAGCGTTTGTCCGCAGAGGTCTCGCAAAGCTTCACAACTGCTTCAGACCTGGCAAATGCATCGTTGTGTCGTATGCCATGGATGGTGCAAAGGTCGAGCCCGCGTGTGAAGCAACTGGGAAGACGCTCCCCGCGTATTGCAGCGCGAGACTCATGGTCGTCGGGGTAAGGTTTGTTGACGGATGGCGACTCGCCGCTTTTCCATCTGTCATAGCGGTCAAATAGTGACATTTGGCGCGAAAATAAGCCGGAGAAGGCCTTTCGTGGGGCAGACTTCCCGGTGTATCTCAAGAAAATGGACATTGATGTGTTTGGTGTGAGGAAGGAAGGGGGCAGCCCGACGGGAGAAGTTTAATAGAAACTGGCTCGCCGAACGATGGTAAGAAAAACCGAACACGGACAATTCAATGTCGCTCATTGTGGTTGGGAAAGACCGCAGAATATATACACCCATGGTGTGATGTACTGGCCGTGGTAAGGTAGGTACCTTATGTTCGGTTTATTCTTACGACCATCGCTCACCCATCCTCCCAACTTATCTGTTATAGGTAGGTAGTACCTGTGTCGGTACTTCTGCCCCTGTAGGTATCTTTATTGTCTACCCGATCCTACCTGTACATACCTCACACAGTAGTGTATGTACCTAGCCGCTTGCAATCCCTGCGTCGATCCGGCGTAGGTGTTCCGGAGGTACACCTAACAGCACAACCCTGTCCCGTCTGGCAGGCTGCTCCTGTTCAGGTTTTAACATGCACGTGGAAGTCCCATTGATGCGTACATCGCGCTTCCGAAGTCGCTATTCCAACCACCTCGCTACTCTACAGCTACCTCTATCTTACCCCTAGGCGCACCGAACAACGCCCGGCCATCCATGTCCCGATACTTCTTCTAAGTTGCCATGATACATGTACATGCCCGATTTTCTCGGGATAGGTTCCCCTCCAGTCCTTGGCAATACCAGCCTAGCTCAGCAATACTTACACGCTCCTTCGGGACAGTAAACCCGACTGCAAATGAACTCACACATATCAACATAATATGCATAGTCCGAGTTGGTAGGGCTCTGGTTGTCTCCAGTTGGGTTGGTGCCGCAACTGCTACCGCGCGGAACGGGTGCAAATACAGGCAGAATCGAGGCAGTGGTCGTAATCACAGCTGTAGGAACAAAGTCCTATGAGATTTGCCCGAGACCTCATCAGCCGTGGTACCACCTTGTGGGGGAAAAAGAAAGTTAGCATGGATTTCTCGCTGTGAGGTGCTGCCTGTGGCCAGTAATAACATACCTGTGCAGTGCATAGTGGAGGAGGGCAATGCAGTGGAAGTAGTTATTTTGCTTGAGTCAGTGATCAGTGACGACGATGATGTCGAGCAGCTGAAGACGCAGCCGTACTAGACCAGAGATGGCGGAGGAGGAAGAGGTCGTGAGGTCATTGAAGATGGGTCCGACGGTGTCGAGGTAAAAAAGAAGAGAAGAAGAAGAAGAAGAAGAAGAAAGAGAAGAAGAAGAAGAAAGAAGAAGAAGAAGAAAGAAGAGAAGAAGAAAAGAAGAAGAGAGAAGAAAGAAGAAGAAAGAAGAAAGAAGAAAAGAAGAAGAAGAAGACGAAGAAGAGAAGAAAGAGAAGAAGAAGAAGAAGAAGAAGACGAAGAAGAGAAGAAAAGAAGGAAGAAGAGAAAGAAGAAGAAGAGAAGAAAGAAGAGAGAAGAAGAAGAAAGAAAGAAGAAGAAGAAGAAAGAAGAAAGAGAAGAAGAAGAAAAGAAGAAGAAGAAGAAGAGAAGAAGAAGAAGAAGAGAAGAAGAAGAAGAAAGAAGAAGAAGAAGAAGAAGAAGTGGCCTGGGTCGTCCCCCACTGGGGTCGAAGACAAGCAAGCTCTACCACTGGCTGGACCGAACCAGCATACCCAGAATTGTACCCAAACACAGTAGCAACAATGTAGGTTCTGTTGGATGCAGCATAATACGATGTCTGGTTGTTTGGGTCGTTGAAATTGGTGCCAACCATCCACGATAAACGTCCGACTTCATCCACCGCGAAACTTCTGGCTGCATCATCATCGTCGAGATCGGACGCCTCGCAACCTGTGAAGAATTAGACGTCACCCTCAATTCATGCCCACTCGTATTTGAAGATTGCACTTACCCAGAACATCTGCTGTAACCCTTCCCAGCGTGGTTTGGCAGCTTTCCGTGATGGTGTCAAGGGCCCATCCGCTGCACATGGTACCGCTCTCGGGATCGCTCTTGAATGCTCCCCAGTTCTGAGTCAAGCTGGCTTTCAAGTCTTTCTGACATTGGCTGGGCAGAAAGGAACAGTCGTGCGCAATATCCGATGTTGGGTCAGGCAGCGTGCTGATGTAATAGTGTTGACAGACATACCACGAGGAATGCATGCTCTTGGGGAGGCCATTTTCCTTCCTCATGGAAGGTGGAATGCCGAAATTGAGAGCTGCCACGTTGGTTGTGACATTCTCGTCCGTCACAGCGGGCGGGAAACGCACCTCGTCCGCTATCCGCAAATGGGCAGTGAAGCCTGATAGGGGACTCCCGGGGTACGGCTTTGTCCAGTCCAGACCGGGTGAAACTGGCAATGTCCGAGCGGTTGGGGCTTGCAAAGGCGGCTTGTAATGTGGACCACGACATCTGGACGACATTGTACGCGGCGGCAAGATATTGTGTATTGTCAAAGTAAATATAAGAAATGTCAGTTGTTGCCTTGGCGAGGTGGCCATGACCAAAGAGCAGTAGCGCCAGTGACAGAGCGCCAGAGCTGATGGCAAACTTGACGGGCATGATGAGGAACAGCCAAGTGGCTCTGAGGTCTGGTAATTGGGATGTTTAGTGGAGGAATGTCTTGAGGTTGGGAGTCAGTCAACATGGCGACACTTTGGTTTTAAAGGGGGCATGGCCATCCCAAAAGACTGACCGATACAGTTGGTCCCGAGGCGCTTCGGGTCGCAACGCTATCTATCCTACACGTACACTAGGTTTGGATCCAGGGACCCGGGCACGACATCACATCAGTTCAGGTTGACTGTAACAGCAGAAGCAGGAACATTTTTTTCAATAGGGATTTGGATCAAACAGGAAGGTGGGCTACTTATACTAGCATAGTGGCACGAGTGGGTAACATGGAAGACATCCCATAGGTACTACGCAAGGTAGCATCAAAAACCAACAAGGCTTGTCGGCCCGCAAAGGGTTGTTGGTTCCTGAAAAGCGCTTTGTCAACCTTGGTCGAGCCCGACTTTTGAAGATTGCAGTCACAAAATCCTACACTCTGATCAATGTCACCTGCCCCTGGTAACCTGCCCCTGGTAACCTTCCTCATGGGAAATCGGCAAAATGGCCCCCTTCTAGACAGGCAACAGTCATCTCCGGGTTCGTGCCTAATGGTCAAATGGTCCTCAGGTACCTCAGCTCGCTCAGGTACCTACATGTACCTCTACCTAGAGGTAGTGTAGTTTTCTGGTTCCTATCATCAACAGTCGGAATTTGGTGAGGATTGGAAAACTGATATTGCCGTGACGAGAACTTTGAAGGGACAGGT